CCATGTGATATCTTAATCACTGGGGTCTGTGGCTGAGCTCCAGACTGCAAATTTATAGCCAAAGGCAACAACCATATCATGGCTGTAAATCAACTTTTTTTTGTGTGCGTGTATTATAATATTACTATTATTATGATGATGATGATTTGAAAGGAAAGCACTACGAGCCAAAATCAGCATGTCTAATTAGCAGGAGGGGCTACACGTTAAGTTCAAAGAAGCCTTTTGCCTTATCTGATTCTAATGGCACCGGCGACGGAGCCTAATCTGACCTGTCATTTCACCAGCTCTAGAGAGAACAAATTGCCGCCGCCGGGGAAAAGGTTTGGAACAGCACACAGCCTGTCCTCTCCTGACATCCTACTCAGCAAATTCCTTACAGATTTCCTCCTGATGTCACCAAAACTAACATAAAGGTTGTTTCATAAAACCTTATGTGGATTGCTAACTCGTGAAAAGCAAAGGCCCCATGCCCAGAACAACAATACAGACTCCAGTAAATAATCACAGAGTTTGTTCTTTCTGCTTAAAGCTCAACAGACGAGTGAAACAGAGGAGAGGCTGAGGAGTTCCCATGCCAAGTGAGCACATATTAAAGGGAGTAGCCAATAAATGTCGAAATCAAGGTGACTGATCACATAAAGACTTCTTGTTTGACTGGAGACTGTTAGGAAAGATTTCCAGTTTCATATGCAATATGATGAGGAGTGGAAAAAAAAACGCAGTAAAGTTAAATATTGAATGCTAGAGTCATTCTAAATCTTACCAGCTACTTCTGCAGGGAACACAATGCCTTCAGCAGATGAGTAATGCCATCAGATAAAGAGGTGTGACCGGGGCAGACAGCAGGACATTCACTACCAGGGTGGGACTGGCAGTGTCCCCAGAGCCATTTTTGGAACCCTGGTGAAACAACAGATAGGCAAACTTTGGGGGTTTTGCTATTTACATACTGAAATAACGTTATGCAGCTGGTCAGAAAGTTTCCTTCATTATGGTGATGCCATCAGAAGTACAGAGGGATGTCCAAAGTGATAACGCTGAGCACTCCTTGCCAGCACACAGTGCTTCCACCAAGATCAGCAGGATGTTCTGGCTGCTCCACGCTGCTCTAATTAAAACTCAGTCATCCTTGCAGCCACTTTGTGTTCCTAGAGCACTGCACAACAGCTGGATGACATCAGAGAGTTTGGCCCTTCAACTCCTTGGGAATTAATGTGTGAAGAGCAAAACTTTGGCCCTTTCCTTCACTGCTGGAGCTGGGGTTCACCTGCATCTCTGGCTTCAACACACAAGACCTGGGCATTTGGGTACTGTGTTGGAAGAGCATCAATGTCATAATCAAAGATGGAGTGGGTGTTAGCCTTACACTGGTTTTGGCAGGTTTTTGCCCAAAGAAAGGCTGTTGGGGCAGTGACAGACCCTCTGCCACGCTTACTGGGATGTAAGACTTGCTGCAAAACCAACCTACAAGCGCTACAGAAATGTTAAAAAAGGCCAAGTCTGACTTCCTTTGGCAACAATCCTATTCTAATTAGGCAGCTGACACAAAACTCCGGGTTAAGCTGTTCTGCTGCTGCATAAATGAGTTTTTTAAAAAATATAACTTGCATGTGTCCGTTGTGGACCTGTCTGGACTTACATCAAGTTAAAACACACTTTAAATATGCATTCCCTGTTTCTCTGTTAGCACGCTTCTAGACCTACAGCCAGCTACTCAGTCTCTCTGTGGCTTCATGAGTTGTTGTCTCAGGTCCCATGGGGACTGTTGTGAATTACGATGGGACAGGGTGACACACCACCTCTCATAAAGTCCATCGTCCCCAGCTAAGTGCATCTGGGTGACTGTGCGATGCTTGAGGTGGATGATGGGTCTCAACTAGTCACGAGTTAAATTTAAAATTAATTGTGCACCTTTGGGTCTAACAGCGGAGTCATCTTACTACAGAGAAATCACTGACGCGGTGTGTTACTAAGCAGAAGATGCTGTAATGGAATAATCTGTTTTCCTCTGGAAAGCATATGTAAGACAGACTTGCAATATTTATTCTTAAAACATGTAGGATGTTGTAGAGCCGGGAAGCCACTCGGTGTAAGCCATGAAAAACAGGTTTGGTTCAGAGATGAAAGTGGCTGGAGGCTGTGACCCACAGGGACTCAGAAGGAAACACTTAGAAAATAGAGACAGATTGAATCCCAAGTGCTCTCTCCCGAGAGGAAGCATGGTTGGAAAGTTTAAACCCCAGTAAAGTTAAACAAATTGAAAAGCCCTATCTGAGAGGAAACATAGTACAATGTTTATTTTTCCATTACAAACCTGAGACCTAAAAGATTTCCGGAGGTTCTCAGGTATTGTTCATGCTTATAATGGTGATCTGTTTTTAGAAAGTGTAATTCGTGTGTTTAATCCAAACTGTTTGATGAAAAACACACTGCATAAGCCTTCAGGAAGTGAGAAGCCATTGTATACCTGCACCACACGCTGTTTGGGGAGGAGCAGGCTTCCAACGCCAGCGATCTCATCGCTAAACTCTCTCACTCCAAAACACCGGGTCTCATTCTCTCCCCTCTCGTGCTCCTGGATGAATTCCACTGAATTAATGAAGTTAAGACATGAGTAACCAATGATAATAAAAAGACAATCTTCCTGCTGAGTGTGAAACTACCAAAAGGCAGGGCTAGTGTGAGCAAGAGATTTATAAGGCTGGCCTGAGTCGCGGAAGGAACAAGCCACGGCAGCCCCACTGCTACAGCAGCCAGTGTTTTTCAGGTTTTGCCCCATCACTAACCAATTCCTGCTCTGAGATCCTTATCAGAAAGGCGTGTGATGTTAACGACATTGAGAAGCATCTGTTTGACTAACGAACAAACTGCAAACTAAATCCAGAGATTAATTTAAGAGAGAGGAGAGATTTGGAAACAGTGGAATATTGTTTGTTCCATCTGTTGATATAAAACCTGGGCAAGTTTCAGGTGTACGGACCCTTCTTCAGCTTCTTTCAGTCTGTTTGTAGTTGATCTAAAGCAAGATATTTCTCTGGGCAGATCTTGCTTTCTAATATTCTTAGACTATCATGGGTAAAGTGGATTTAAGTAAAAAAATTAAGATACCAGAAAATATGACAATGCACAAAAGTAAATTGGCATAAGGCAGCTTCCCTTGTCTGTTACACAGGCAATTTCAGGTGGGATGAAGAATATCTAATTTTTAGGAGACCAACATACTTTTTACATCTTGACCCTCAACCAAGCCTAAATTTACTACTGCCTTTGTATTATGTGTGAGAAATAGCTTGGTTACAAATAGCAATCAAGGTCTTCTACAATTAAACACTGAAAACAATGATGGAGACCTGCTTCAACATGACATAGGAAGGTGACAGGACAGCAAGGTGACAGGATAGTAGTATGGGTCCACATATAATCATGCCCGAGTTTCCTGTGCATGACTGTTTAATAATGATAATTAATGAAATACACACTGATGACCCCGTCCTGCCTTCTGTGCCATCGTTAGTCAGTGACACAGGATGAGACCTAGGAGGGTAAATGTGATTTTAGAGGTTGGCAACCTCCCTGGCCAATCTGCGGGGTCAAGGAGGAGGACAGGAGGTAGACGTTCACAGGAGAAGACAACAGACAGGCAGATCAAGCTAATTTTAGTGGAAAGTGTTGTGTGGATGACAACTTGAAAAGGGCTGATGGGTAAGGAGGAGAAGAACTGTGAAAAGATTTGCAGATAAGGGCAAGTGGTTTAATTTGATGTTGCTGAATGGCATTCAGCAGAGGGAGTCAGAGGAGATTCTTGTTTGAGGAGGGTGATATGCAGGAGGGTGACTTTCACAGCTGTGTTTTGTGTGACACCAAGGCTAAATTACTTGTCAACTAAACAGTCCCAGGGTCCCCATTCTGTCCCTGAGGTCAAATAGCACAATCCAGCCATGCTCGTGCTACTAAACTCTCTTCTTTTCCAGAGCAGGGTGGCTGCCTTTGGACCTGGCCTGGATTAGTTCCTGAATTGTGCCCAGGAGCTGGTCAGGAGAGAGCGATAGGTTGCCTGGAGCAGCAGTGTGCCAAGGAGTGTGCTAAAAATTTAGGAATACAGCAGATCGAGTGCCAGAGCTGAGGAACATTTGCTGTTGCTGTTTAATTTCTTAGGACAGACACAGTTGAGGAGTGCAGTGTCAGTGCTTAAGAGGACAGAGACATGAGCATTCAATAACCATGACCTGACATTTTTGAGAAACCTTGAATCTTCTGGAAGGACTGCCTTGATCTTGCCTGTTTACTTCTTAGTGGTTTCATGTCCTCTGCACTCTTTTTTCAGACTTCTTTTTGAATTTCCTTTATGGCACTTAGTTACTAATAATCTCATGCAGTACTTAGTTTAAGATGGAGTTTATCACTTGATTTAGTCTATATTCCCCATTTTTCTTGGTTACCTGGAATAAAGCCAGGATAAAGTCTTCACTCAGGGAAACTATAATGACCTTTGTTTGTTGTGCATCATCACTCCACTCTCATAGAGAATTTATACTCAAGGAATATGCTTTTCTAAAATTTAATTGCATTCCCATCTCTCAAGTAAATCTCATGTTAAAATAAGATCTACTTAACAACGTGCTTTGTTTTGTAGCGATGAATTGTGAATGACCAAAATGTTGACTGAAGGGAAGGGAACACTGGAAAATGTTCTTTACTGTGTTCCTCCATCACTTTTAGGTTCCCTACATTTAAACTCATATCAGACATCTTGGCATGCTGGAAAAGATGGTTACCCTTACTTCAGGACTCTGATAAATTTTTAATTAATGCCCTGGATTCACTGTCTGCCACACAGAGTTGCTGAAGTGGTTGAGCTTTCTATCACTGTCTCCTGAGCATGACAAAGTATTTAGTTTTTTAGAAGATTGCTGATCTTCCAGAAGACAGTAATGTCACTATGGCTTTTTGTGAGTAATTTTGTTTATAAATGCATCTTTATGTTTGTTTCTTTCTAGGTAGGGATGAGATCCCGAAACCAAGGTGGAGAAAGCTCGTCTAACGGGCACTTCTCCAGTTCCAAGCCTGTCATCAGCCATGCAGAGCACGAAAAGCTTCAGGAGGATGCCAAGAAAAAGAACAAACCTCATCGGAAGGAAGATGAGGTCATGGTTTCAGCAACTGTCAAACGACACTCAAAATCACCTGGACCTACTGAACGAAAGAACAAGAAGTCCATAGAGCTTTCCAAAGAGGACTTGATAAAACTTCTCAGTATAATGGAAGGAGAACTGCAGGTAAATTAAGCATCTTTTAAACTGTTTTCTATGTACCTATTTATTCCAAAAAGCAGAGGGCTCAACTGAGAGGGACATGCAAATTTAAGGCAAAGGACCATAAGGAGAGAGCAGTGATAGCTGGTGTCTAACAGGACAGTCATAGTTTTAAGTACTGTTTTATTTACCGTGTATGTCTATCTGCAGCTACCTATTAAGAAAAAGAAATTATAAACACCTGTCAGAACTGATGAAGAAAGGGGGATCTGCAGGTCCTGAACACTTAAAAAGAGGCAGAAAACAATCCCAGGGGGATCAGTTTGGGAGGAAAAGACAGGCAAATGCAGTGAGTGTAATTACAGTCATTGATGCAAATAGTCAAGAGACAGACCTGCAAGTCAGTAACACAGAAAAAGGACTTAAGACAACCCCTTGGACCTTCTGGCTCCTCCTCTCAGGAATCTCAGTCTGCAAAATACAGGGCTGAAACATGGCATTTCAAAAAGTCAATATGAAGCCTTCTGACTTTTCAAAACTTAGTCCCATTTGCTGTAAGGACTGTTTGCCAATTTTATACATTCTTTTGTTTGCACTTTAGTGATATTTTTCATTGAACCTACGGACAAGCAGAAAAAAACCTGCCCACCCTGTGTGAAAACATTTTATCTCAATCCCTTTATTCTAGTTAACCATCATTACTTAACAGTTCATACAAGGCTTTACTTTTTTCCTGAAACCCACATTCATAACATTTTGACTTTAATTTTGGACTTGTTATCATCTTATCTGATTACAAGAAACAATTGTTTTGTGAATTTCTTTGGTATATGGGTCACCTGAGTTGCACAATTACCACAGCTCTGAGATTTCATCTCATTAAGTATCATTAAGCGTCCCCTTTCCTGTACAAAATTCACCTTCAGTTTGTCAGAAAGTATTTTTGAGTTTCAGGAAATAGGCATTCAAACTAAATAATTTTGTCACAAAGAGAATAATCATTTTGCAATGAAAAACTGCAGAAAAAGGCAAGAAAATCTGTTGAATGCAATTTTGCAAAGGAAAAAAAGCTTTTCTCATTACACCACAGTATCTGGTTTTATAGTGCTTCATTTGACTGTGTACAAAAACCTGCAATTTCCTAAAAGATTGTGCAGCTTCAGTGATGAACAGAGCCAAACCTCACCAGAAATCTAACATGCTCATGTTGTTCAGGAAGATTTGTCCTGAAGTCACCTTTATGGTGTGGAAAGGGGAGGTGATAAAAGTCCTTAATGTGGTCTTTATTCTTATCTCTGAGTAATTCTCCTGTTTGGGAAGTGGAAATGTGGCTCTTCACCAAAGTCTTTTGCTTTGTGGGGGAGTTACCCAATCTTTAAAGGACTGCCCATGTTCTCCTTATCCCTGTGGGGATGGTGGGGATGGCTGCCATCTGCGCTGTAACATGGGCTGGAAACCCTCACCAAGGGGAAGATACTTCCATTTCCCTGGACAATGGTTTTAAGGATATTTGTACATACAGACCCCCCAGGGATGATAAGCACTGGCTAAAGGTTCCTGGTGTCACGGGAGGACTGTGAGGGCAATCCCACTGGCAGCCGTAGAGCGCTGTGTTCTTCTGCTCCTTACTGCCAGCCAGGGAAGAGAATCATTATTCTTTTTATTCCCTAGGAGTTTTTAATTTCATTTCACCCCCCTGGTTTTAGTTAGTTATTTACCTGGTACCTGTGTGGAAGCATTACCGAAGTGGGCAGGGTGACAGCACGTTGGCTCGAGATGAGAGCCTGGCTTTGATGCTACAGGGGAGGATGTGCCAAGGCAGACGCCAGCCAAAGTAAATACTCTGGTAATACCTCCTGGCTGTCACCGTGACCTAATGCACTGAGTCATTTCGTGGCTTTTCGTTCTCCGATCTGTTTGGACATCTCCAGTGGCTGGCAGGCCTTTCGTTGGACGGACAAATCAGACCGGGGGTTTATTTTGAAGCCATTTCAATACTGGCAAAGCAAACATTATATAGGCATATGGGAGAAGATTTTGTTTTGAGAAGGACAGCAGGCTGTACCTTTAGGGACATCCAGTATTTTTTCAAGAAAAAAATGGGATAACATACCATGATTGTTAATTTAGCAGCCACGAGCAGGACGGGTCTTACATCTGAGCTTTCCAACACAGAGCAGGGTCACACTGTCCTGTGAACCCCAAACAGCCAGCTCAGCCATGGGAGGTAGTCTGTTTGTGACACCATGGGGCTAGCTGGGTAAACTGGTAATGTATACGTGTGCTTCATGGGTTTAGTTCACTCACCACATAACCTTGCAACACAGCAAGCACAGACCCACACCACTGAGTCCCAACTGTGGGACCTGACCTCCCAGATCTTCATTTGAAGATGAGAAGATGAACGTGCCAGTAAAGTGTGGAGACATGCCCTAGCAGTGATGTTGATGTCTTTCTTTTCCTTTTTGTAAAATTATAACACCCCCAGGTAGGTGTACTGTGCTATAGCTCTGCTGTAGCTTCTAGGGCCAAGTTGGACTCAGCTTTGTCTGTCAGATTCCCCGGCTGAGACCTGACCACTTACTGAGTATAGAGAGGAAGGGTGTCAGAAACAGCTGAGGTCACCATAGCCCAGGCCTTATTTTGTAAGAAAAGGGGAGGAAAAGTATACAGAAGCTGCAAATGTATCCCAATATCCATAGCAGGAGAGCTCTTAAGTGCAACCTCTCTGAAGGCCAGTGGGAAAGAAATGAACTGGTGACAGGAATTGATTTTAAAGGCCTTGTAGCTTAGTGGAGTGTCTGTTCTCTTGTGAGGTCTCACTGCTCATATAAAAAAGCAGCGATCGCGTGGTCTTTAAACACATATTGAATATACAGGGACAAAAAAAAAAACATCCATGAAGGATTTCTTCCTATACCTGAAAAAACCCCATCATTTTTAAATACTGCAAAACTGATTTGAAAACTTCAAACACCAGGAGAATAAATTGGACCATGAAGGCACATTATTCTGTTCCCACAGGAACAAAAAAATCCATGAAGGATTTCTTCCTATATCTGAAAAAAAAATATCATTTTTAAATACTGCAAAACTGATTTGAAAACTTCAAACACCAGGAGAATAAATTGGACCATGAAGGCACATTATTCTGTTCCCTGGCAGTTACAGTGATTTCAGTCAAACTAACATATGAATGTTATTAATTACAGACCAACACAGGCAGTGTGTATGCTTACAATGACAATATAATCCTGTCTGTGGTTCACAGGCCGACATCCTATGTGCTTGTCCTGGCAGGAATATATTCCCTGTACACTTGCTGAGCAGCAGCCATGAGTCTCCAACACTGAATCATTTCCTGATTAGGAGCCTGAAAGGAAATGAGGGGCAGTATTCATACATGTTTACCATTCACTCTTATACCGCATTTTTGGAAAAAAACACCCCACAATAATAGAAGTTCATTTACATTCAACATTTCCTGATGAGGAGCCTGAAAGGAAATGAGGGGCAGTATTCATACATGTTTACCATTCACTCTTATACCGCATTTTTGGAAAAAAACACCCCACAATAATAGAAGTTCATTTACAAAGACAGCATCCCACTCCAAATGATTGGGTTTTGCAGGAAAAATAATTTCTTAGCCAGGTTCTGTGCCTATTACCTGATGACAATTTAAGCCTGGGAGGCAGTTTCCTGTATTTCATAGCAATCCAATGGAGGCCTTTGTTATAGCAGGTGTTTTGCTGTGTTCCTGCCTGTATTTTCTGTGCCATTACACTCCATGGAATGCCTTCAACAGCTTTTGTTTCAAACCTGACTTTCCTGAGATGTCAAAACAGCACCGTGATAGCTACCTAGGTATTGCTTAGCTAAAAAACACAGCACAAACTCCAATATCTTTTCTTCAGTGACTTTCTTGATACCCTTGCACCAATATCACTAAATATCTAGCTGTCTGAAAGCTCAAGAAAGGACTGTGGGATAGATGGGTGGGTGGAAACCAGATGTGTTTCTTTTGGGTAATATTAAAATCAGAGGAGAAAGTTGTGACAAGATGCTTTGGCACCTAAAGAAGGAGTACAGAACAGAGTGAAGAGCAGGGGTTTTCAAATGGTCATTAGCAAAATCTCATCGTTTGAGAAGCTGAAGAGGAGCCAGAGTGTGGAGAACAGGTAAAGCCAGGGAAAAGTGCATGTGTAGTAGCTTTACATGCATGTTTGTAACTGTGAAGTCTTGTTAATTGAATGGAAAAAGTTTAGGATTTTCTGAGCATATCATACAGATGAAATTCAAATTCCCCAAGAGAATAACCTTGGCATGTGCAGAGCTACAGGGGAAAAGAGAAAAGAGGGTTAATGTGAGGAGGGAGAGGTGACTTAAGGAGAAAGGAATGAGAGGGAAGAGGTTGGGCAATAGAAGAAAAAGCCTATAAGGAAAGGGGGGAAAAGACAGTGATAAATGGGGCCAAGGCAGAGACTTGGAAAGGGCAAGACAATGAAGAGAAAGGTGTTATCCACACTGGAGCAAACGGAGAGCCTCAAAAACCCCTAAAAATGCCTGGCATAAGAATATCATTACAATGAGCTAAAAAATTCTCTCTCCTCCGACTGACCCCTTGTTTGTTTGTTTGTGTTTTCCTGGTGAAGTAGGCTTTTGCAAGACCAAAAAAAAAATGTTAAGATAGACTTCAGAGCACAAATGTTCTTTTCTGTTTTCATTGAATAATTTATAACCAGAGATGAATTTTGCCCAGAATAATATGGTGGGGTTTTTTTTCTGTAGCTTGCAATCATTGCTGTGCAAAGTGCAGGAGATACCATGGGAGGTGAGCAGGGCTTGTCTAGCAAGTCTCAGAATAATGAATTCTAAAATAGAACCCTGCTGAGAGAAGAAAAAAAAGAAGATAAAACAGTACACTGAAATATAGTTAAATTCAAGCAATTTCCTGCTCTCTCTGAAATGAAGGGCAGAGGTACTATCAACCCTAGTGATGATAGCCATCTCTCTGGGAATAG